CGTCCCGAACAATAGCCACTTACAATGAACCAATAACAATTAACAATAAGCTTAATTAAAATGTACAGAATTACAAACACAAAATTACAATTCAACAAAGTCTTAATTTTACGGGACGTATCTTCTTCCGTACTGGTCTCCTTCTCGTTGGCTTCTGCTTCATCAGTAAATGTCCTATCATCGGTAACAGTCACATTAGTGGTAGTAACTTCATCAAGAGCTTCACCGTTTCCCTTCTCAAAACTGAGTAGAGTTTCTTCTTCGACGGTGGCTTCTTCAGGTGGTACATCTTCAGCAGTGTCATTTGTTCTGTTGTCCACTTCATCCCAACTGAAATGTCCTGGACCGTGATAACGCCAAAGCCTGTTGGCATGCACCACTTTTGGTTTACTTCGCCGACCACATTTTACCCAGAAAGTCAGTCTGAGAGACGATCCACTAGGTCATACGGACCTTCCCATGAAGAAGACAACTTAGGAGACTTCCCTTTGGTCTTCCTGGGATTATACACCCATACCTTGTCTCCAGGTACAAAGCTCACTTCAGTAGATCTCTTATCGTAAGTTAACTTCATTAAATCAGCAGACGTTTTCAAGTTTGAACACACTTGATGGTGAATATCGTCCATCCTTTCCGATAACACTTCCACAAACTCTGACACATTCTCATGCAACTCTTCATAAGGTGGGCATCTCTTATGCTTGTGTCCCCTTTTAGCACTACATGTCCGGCACCATTCTTCCACATCTCGCCTCATACCTATCCAATAAAATCTTTGTCGTAGATGACTCAATGTCTTCCTAATTCCGAGATGTTCTCCTGTTAAATTATCATGGGTTTGACTTAGCACAACTTCCCGTAACTTCCTCTGTATAACTGTTTGCCAAGTTGTCACTTTCCCATTGGTAGTTTCCCATCTCCGTACAAGAATACCATCTGCAAACTTTAACTGGTCCCATTGCACCCAATAGTGCTTTGTCACAGGGCTTAGACTAGACACCTTCTCCCAAGCAGGGCACAAAACACTTGTTTTTAGGAAATCAATTATTGGCTTCAAATATTGGTCTTTCTCCTGTTCTGCTTTGATATCTATATTTGGTTCCACTTCATCATCATCAACTCTTTCAGTTGGCTTGACTTCAGCTTGATGACACCTAATTAGTTCAACCTCTCTTTTAACAGTTAACGGAACTTGGCTTTTGTTGTTCCCAAACGTCATTTTATCAAAATCAATTACAAACTTCCTTGGTAATAGATAGTCCAATCCTAATATGCATTCGTCTTCAATGTCAGCCAAGTATACTTTCTGTCTGTCCTTTATGCCCATGAGCTCAATAGTTACCCACACTGGTCCCCACAATCTTGTACAATGTCCTGTCACACCATAAAGCTTCTGTATGGCTTCTGGTACTCCTTCGTGATTTAACACCTTGATGCTCACAAGGGTCTGCTGAGACGCAGAGTCTATGACAAAGTTGCACCTTTGGCTATCCAGCTTTCCTGTCACATAGACACTGTGTGTGCTTGGCATTTTACACCTAGCTGTTGGGACTTTCACGATGGGGGTTGGTGGGCGTCGCTCAACACCAACCA